GGAAAATAAGCAGTATGTGTGCCGCCTATCAAGGGGAAAATTATTGACCGAGCTTCTGGAGTTTGTCATTATTTCTTTTAGTCAATCAATGCGATTATAGTGGTATTTGCTAATTGTCTTCTATGGTGGAAAGTGTTTCGTTTTTTTTTTTTAATTTTCCTAAGAATTATTTTTTATTAATAATTTTTCCTGTAGCCTTGGAACCTGATCAGTGAGAAGAACTAAAGTAGATAGGCTAGGATGCAGGTTGGGTCCTGATTCCTTGAAGACCAACAGAAAATTTTTAGTTTCCCCATCTTTTTTGTTGGTTGACATAATTTTTATATTGTATGCTAGTTGCCTGCCCTTTACAGTGGGATATTCCAGTTTGTTTTATTTGTTTTGTTGTGTGTGTGTGTGTTTGTGTGTGTACATAGGACCTGGATCGTGAGGAGAACTAAATAAGTTAGATTGGCATGCAGCTTGATCATAATCTTCTTTGAAGAAGAAAAATCTTTTTGAGCACGATTATGTTTCATCAAATATTTTCTTTTGCAAAAAAATAAAATTGTTTCCTACCATGAATTGACTGAGTGGGCATTGAAATTGTTGAAAAGAATAATTGGGTTTAAGCAAATGATTTCAAACTATAGTGATTATGTACCTCAAATTTAAAATTGTAAGAGTTTTCTTGAACATGAAATTAGTCGAGGTGTGTTCAAATGGACTCATGGGGTATGGTGACTTATGAAGGTCTAGTATTTCTTTGACTTTCATCAAATTTGTTTCTTTGTCTATAGGTTTTTTATTTGCGAAATTTTATTTCAGGAAGTGAGTTTCTTGTGTTATTGCAATTCTGAAATTCGTGAGACTTCCCACAAGTCTTAAAAGTGTCAATTTATATGTCGACTTTCTTAATCTCTTCGTTATTGTTGAATGTATATTTTTAGTTGGGAAATTACCTAGAACATGTAGGAGAGGTTGATATCTGCCGAACTCTTTGGTTAATGTTAGCCAGACATGTTTCTGCCGTTATGAATATACTATCGTTTCTGACAGATAGAAGGGGATGTTTTGGCTATCAAGAAAGCACTTCTTGCTGTATCTCGCTGTCTTCAAGACTGCCCTCCAAGTGAGAAGATGAGGATGGTTGCAAGCAGACCTGCTGAAGCAGTCATCCATGAGACTTTACCCGATCTACATTTGGATCATATTTTGCAAAGGAATTCAATACTGCCCATCTTGCCAAGCAATTCAAGCATTTTTGCGTCAGGAATCCATTCATTTTCTACAGATTCTGATGTGTTATCTCCAGTAGACACGGAAGTTACACAGCAGGATGTTGTTTTTAAGATTCTTTGTGCTAATGATAGGATTGGGGGTGTCATTGGCAAGGGTGGTACAATTATTAGAGCACTTCAGAATGAATCTGGTGCTACTGTAAGTGTTGGACCATCGGTGGCTGGTTGTGATGAGAGACTGATAAGTATTACTGCATCTGAGGTGTGACATCTATTTGAAGTCTTTTACCCATCTGATTTTCTTTCTGTACCTGCAATCCCTTGTGTACTAGTATATACTAACATCAATCTTTTATTTCTTTTTGTTTCATCTTGGGAAGAACATTGAATCGCGATACTCACCGGCACAAAAGGCTGTTGTTCTTGTTTTCTCTAGATATGTAGATGTGGCAATTGAGAAGGGACAAGACATGAGCTCAAATAAGGGATCGTCTATTGTGGCACGGCTTGTTGTTCCATCAAATCAAGTTGGTTGTGTGTTGGGAAAAGGAGGTGTTATAATCTCTGAAATCAGGAAGGTTACAGGTACAAACATAAGAATAATATCGAGTGATCATGTCCCAAAGTGTGCTGCACAAAGTGATGAAATAGTTCAGGTGGGAATGAAATTCATTTTGTTTGCTGGTGAATGTTTATTCCTTCACCATACTTACTTATAGCATTATGTTTGACTGAGTCGAATATTGTCGAGTATGTTATTGTGATAGAAAGTAGAGAAATATATTGATAATGAAGAAGAATATAAATGGGCAATTTGAGGTGCTTGGAACCTTCCCACTCATGATATAAATGGGTAATTCGAGGTGCTTTGAGCACTGAGCATGAACTGATTTGTGCTCTTTCCATTCTCTTCGTGCATGGCGTGCACAAATGTAGTTAGCAGATGGGCATGAATCCAGTATGTGCATTGGAGATACGTGCATGTTATTCCTTTTTCTAAAGCACAAAATTTGATTTACTCTGTTCTGATATATTTTCTTTTCAACTATTCATTTACATGCATAAACAATGGATCAAAAGAAGTGATGCTAAGTTCTGCTGTGAAGAATGATTTTGTGCTCCTTTAATTTCTAGTTATTTCATATTTTTCTTTTGACAGATTTCAGGCGAGTTTTCAAATGTTCAAGACGCCTTGTACAACGTTACAGGTCGACTGCGGGATAACCTTTTTTCTAATGTCCTAAGTAATTCTGGAGCAAGGAATGGTGCTGGTTCACATATATATCCTGAGACCAGCCCTTATGGAAGACTAAGGGATCCTGCACCTCTAGCACGAACAACTCCGGTCGGCGCTTCTCATAGTAGTTTTATACAACACACAACTCAAAGTACAGATGACTTGGGTCTTTCTCACAGTTTAGACAGTTCATCATCACCTGGGTTATGGGCATCACAGGTAGATTTTCTTTACCACATCCCCCTCCAACGAAAAAAACAAAGGTTTTACCTTTGCCAATTCCAATTATCTAGTTTTCTTTGTACGTGATTGCAGTCTTTATCTGGGATAAGTTCTAGGACCATATCAGATGCTGGCAGGGGTTTGCCACCACCACCCCATAGGGGCGGAGTACATCTTGGCAGGTTGGTAACACATAAATTCTTGTCTATGAGACAGCTTGAAATTTGAAAATATGGGCACTGGATGGAAAATTTGTTCATTTGGCTGATCTTGTTGATACATGTTATCTTGTTGCCTTCGTACTTCCTCGGCTTCAGTCAAATTTGTGATGTAATTGGCATAGGATTAGCATCTATTTATTTACCTCGTTCAAGAATAGAGATATGAGCTCCTGTCATAATGAAAAGTCTTGTGCCATGAACGCACAAGTAGGTAAAGAGTACATGTGTTGATAACCCCAAAAGAGGCTAAAGCAAGGCCTAATTGAAAATGAAACGAATTTTTGATTGTGTCATAAAGACCTTTATGCCCATGTCCCAATCGTCCCCGGCGGAGTATGTGCTTCTGATGTTGCATGCCAAAATTTCTAGCACCATTTGAATATAAGTACGTGCAATTGTAGTAGAAGTTTTGTAGCTGAAAATCTATTGGTTCCTACCTGCTGTATTAGGAAAATTGAGATTAAGATTTTGTATCTGCTCATCATTTTAGAGAGTCTTCTAACTTTTGCCTTCATGATGTTGGCAGCGGGAGCAAAACTGCTCTAGTTACGAACACTACTGTAGAACTTATAGTTCCCGAAGATGTTATCAGCTTAGTGTATGGAGAGAATGGCACAAATTTGGCTCGTCTAAGACAGGTAAAATATATGCTTCAAATATTGGTTTCATAACATAATGGCGAAATTTGAGATCTCACATCGATTAGAGAATGAAATGAGTGCTAGCGAGGACGCTAAGCCCTGAATTGGGTGGATTGTGAGATCCCACATCGGTTGAGGAGGAGAATGAAACACTCTTTATAAGGGTGTGGAAACCTCTCCTTAGAAGATAGCGTTTTAAAAATTTTGAGGGAAAGCCCAAAGAGAATCTGCTAGCGGTGGGCTTGGGCGGTTAGATTCTGAAGGTTCATTATGGTTATAAGAATTCATTTTTGATCACATCGACTGAACTGCTATCATTTTGTAGAGCTAGTATGGTTGAATCTCTGGTTTTCTTCTGGTTTTATCAGATTTCTGGTGCGATGGTGACGGTGCACGAACCCGATCCCTTAACAAGCAATCGACTTATTGTCATATCTGGAACACCGGACGAAACCCAGGCTGCGCAAAGCCTCCTCCACGCCTTCATCCTCACCGGATCCTCATGACAAGCTTGACTCCAAATTTATAAATATCCTTTTTGAATCCCTCCCTGGAAATATTGTACACTAAAACCCAACTCAGGCCGATAGGTTCATTCCAATCTTATTAGTTCTTAGGAAATGCTATTTGGCTCCAATGCCATTTCTTGCATCTCTTATAAATCTTTGTAAGCTGAGCTGAGCCCCTCCAAATCACAAAGGGATGACCCAGCTGAGACACTTCCCCACCACCCACCACCAACCACCACCATCACAGCCNAAAAAAAAAAAAAAAAAAAAAAAAAAAAAAAAAAAAAAAAAAACCACTTGAACATAACCCTTTAACAGTATTGTTGGATTTTGAAAATCCTAGAAAGTATCATGTTAAGCATTTTTTTGTCATTCTAACTCGCTATAGTATTCGAGGATTATTGTGCAGAGATTTTAAGGCAATAAGCCAAAAATTGTATGATTCAATAACATATTTAGTTTTTTTTTTTTTTTTTAATTTAAAAAATTCTAGTTTTTATCTTTAAATTTTGTTTGTTTAAAATTATTTTTAATGAATTGAAGACAATTGAATATTTTTGTACTCAGCAATCTTTAATTATATTATTTATTTTCTCACAAATAAAATAAAATAAAGATGTTCTATGAGGAGTTTAATTTTTCTAATTTATATAGCTAATTTGAATTAAAATATAGTTTAATTATTAGTTTATTCATTTGAAAATAGTAAATAATTTAAATTGAAATGTTTAAATTGTTATAATTATATAAAATGTTAGCTAAATTATATATATTATTAGTTTAAGAATATAAATTGATTTTTATCTTAGGAAAGAAATATTTTAATATTATTGAAGATGGCTTTTGTCTTCTCTCCGGCGCTGGTTCGCCGCCGGCCGATTGCTTTTATCCCGTCGGAAGTTAATATGAAGTGGAGTGGCATCAATCGTAAAAACCCTCAAATTGAAGGTCCTTTTCCAGTTCATGTCATCTGATTCTCCATCCACATTTTTCCTCCAATTTGCTTATGAAAATTCTTATTCCCATTTGCCAATTCAATCTCTCATTTTCCTCTTCCTGCTCGTACTTCCGCCATTATTACTAATTTTTACCTTCACTGCATCTTCTTCTTCCGCCTTCCGATATTGATTTGGATTTTCTAGGGTTTAACATTCGCTGTTGAATTTTATGGGATTGAATTTTGAGCTTTACCCAATTTTCTTTGTCTTTCAGGCGGGGTTGAATTGTTAACCCCTTGTGTAGAGCTGTCCTGTTTGGAATTTGAAATTTAAGGCTTTGTGAGTTCTAAATTGTCTGTTTCTCGTCGAGATTTTTCTGCTGACCTTTTTGATCATTCGTCGTGTTTGGTTTATAAGATTTTTGGCTTTTTTTTTTTGCTTCGGATTTTTTCGTTTCTTGTTAAATTAGCTTGTTCTTGGCCTATCTATGTAATTCTACAAGAAATGCCGGACTCCAATTTCCAAGACGTGATGTACGGTTCCGGAGTCATGAACAACGTTGCCCAGGATTTGGATAACGTTCAGACTCAAGTTGGCGATGAAGACGACAACGTTACCGGCCGGGAAGAGTCCATTGACAACCCTCAGATGCGCTTTGAAGACTCCGGGGGGATGAGCGGCTCGGTCTCAGCGATGAACCGAGTCCAGGATATTGTTCCTTCGGCGTATATTTCCAGCTCTGATTACAACCCTTTGATTGGAAACGGTGGTGCCGATCAGCTTACGCTGTCATTCAGAGGGGAGGTTTACGCTTTTGACTCTGTATCGCCGGACAAGGTTTGTTTTGAATTGGGTGTTGATGACCTTTGTAAATTGTCCATTACTTATGCAATTATTCTGCTACTTGCTGAAGATTTATACCATTTGAAGTTGAAATACTTGATCTAGCCAAGCCTAGTGCTTCTTTATGGTATTCAATTCCAAGCTCGTTTTGAGTTTGAAATTCTTTTGGTTATGTAAAATAAATCATTGTTGGGTTACAAGATTTTCTGCATTTTCAGAGAAGATGTATAGTTCTAGACTATTTTAGTTTCCTAGTGGTACTTTTTTATGATGAATGGATTGTTGTTTCTTGTAAAAGATTATCGAAAAAGAAGAAATATGATGACAAATGAACAAGATTGTGCGAGTTGAATCGAAAGCGAGACTGGTTGCCGAATTAGATTTAGGAAGCATTTGGTTCGATGTTCAAATACATGAATACGAACTCGAGGGGTTTAAGTTTTTTGTGGTTAAATTTGACAGGTGCAAGCCGTACTTTTGCTTTTAGGTGGATATGAAGTTCCTTCTGGTATTCCTGCTGTTGGAAGTATTCCTGTCAATCAACAGGTATCCATACAAACTATCATTTGAATGGTTTACCTTACAGATATTGGTTTAAATCACCTGGTGCTGTTGATTTTCTAACTCACTTCTGCTGTAATCCTGCAGGGTGCTGATGGCTTTCCTGTCAGGTCGGCGCAACCGCAAAGAGCTGCTTCATTGAGTAGGTTTCGAGAGAAGAGGAAAGAAAGGTGTTTCGGGAAGAAAATCCGTTACAATGTGCGAAAAGAAGTTGCACTCAGGTATGTGATAGATACCAGTTTATATATATGTTAGAAGGTACGGTTCAAGTCAAGAGACCATAGAGAGCTCCCTCTCTATCTCCTCTCTATATTCCCTCTCTGTCAACTGTGTTACTAACTAATATGCTTGGGTTCGACACAAATACATCATCCCACACTGCACTCTCCCTTCCTGTTTACGAGCACACACCTTAGTGGTTGGGGGTCTGTCGGTATATCAAGTAGAATTGACTATTGAAACATAGTAGGGATTAGTATAACACAGCTATTTCATGGTTACTTGGAAAGGAAATTACAATATTTGAGTAAGATAGAAGTTCATCGGAATAACTTATGATTTCTTTCATCTTGTGAAAACAAATTTATATTTCTAATGGTAACAGTTCAAGCCTACTGCTAGCAGATATTGTCTTCTTTGGACTTTTCCTTTCGAACTTCTCCTCAATATTTTTAAAACGCGTCTTCTAGGGAGAGGTTTCCACGCTCTTGTAAAGAATGCTTCGTTCTCCTCTCCAACCGATGTGGAATCTCATGATTCACCCTCCTTCAAGGCTCAGTGTCCTCGTTGGCACTCGTTCCATTCTCCAATCGATGTGGGACCCACCCAATTTACCCCCCTTTGGGGCCCAGCGTTCTGGCTGGTACACCGCCTCATGTCCACACCCCTTCGGGGCTCAACCTCCTCGCTGGCACATCGCGCGATGTCTAGCTCTAATGCCATTTGTAACCGCCCAAACCCACCGCTAGCAGATATTGTCCTTTTTAAGCTTTCCCTTTCGGGCTTCTCCTCAAGGTTTTTAAAACGTGTTTGCTAGGGAGAGGTTTTCACACCCTTATAAAGAATGTTTTGTTCTCCTTCTCACCGATGTGAGATCTTACCATAACTGTTATGATGTATTGCAGAAAGCATATCTTAGTGTACTTTTAAAGATACATTTTTATTATTAAATCAATGCTGTTTCTGTTATATGCAATTCAATGTGATATTCCTTCATCTCTTTATCCAGAGCATATGTACTAAATTACTTTGTTGAATTATTCCCATCGTCTCGTCTGTTGGGCTCAGCATATGACAGTTAAGAGTTTAAACTAGCTATAATCAAATGATCTAATCATGGAAGGAGAGGAAATATGATTTTGTTCTTGAGACTTGTTCTAACAACTCGTCTGGACTCAACAGGATGCAGCGGAAGAAGGGCCAGTTTATATCGTCTAAAGCTATTCCAGATGAAGAGGGCTCATCTTCAGTTTTGGCTCTAACTTTGGATTCTGGTCAAGATGATGGCTTGTTGGAAACTTCGTAAGTATTGTCGATTATCACGAGTCCCATTTTCTAACTTTCAATAACCCTGCTGGTAGTCTGAGGATCATCTTTGTGTCACCTTGCCGGTTCGTTTTGCATCCAACTGGAATGTCAAAATGCTCAATTCTCATTCAGAATGGAAATTGTAAATCCGCTAATTTTTTTACGATATTGTCTTCCATGATTCTTATGCAGATGCACACATTGTGGAGTCAGTTCAAAATCTACCCCAATGATGCGTCGAGGACCAGCAGGCCCGAGGACTCTGTGCAACGCATGTGGGCTGAAGTGGGCCAATAAGGTTTGTTTATTAATCTAAATTTAAGAGTTCTTTAGGTGATATAACATCATCCACGAAGTGATTTGCAGTATCTTGGAGTGAAATCTGCATGATATGCATCTGTGTTCAACATTTCATTGTCAAATGTTCTAGATTTGTGGTTTTCATCTAGAAGATGCTTTCATTTAGTTGATAAAGGTTTTGACTTCCAAGTTAGTTTAGCAGATCAGTCTTTGTTAATAGCTTTTCATTGGTTAGGACGGAAAACTTGTTTGAACCAGAGCATTCAGGTACGGTGGATTGCGTTTTGTTGTAGCATTAAAATTTTCTGGGCGGTTCGCATATCCTTGCTGTGTTTTAGTTGTAAGATATTCATACACTCAGTTTGTTCTTGTGCTGGATGCTTAAATTTGTTCTTGTCTATAGAGTTCCACCAAACCACCTTTCGCCACGAAATATGTCCGTTTTTTTCCCCGATTTTTCGCATGAACCTTTAGATTGTGTTTCTTAGAGTTATAAAAGTTCTGTCCTTTGTAGTAAACTAAATGTTCCATGAGATGTCAATGAAAGAGCTTTACTGCTCGAATTCTCATTAGTGAACTCTGAATGCAATAGGGAATTTTGAGGGATCTTTCCAAGGTTTCAACCGCTGGCACTCAGGAGCCCTCTGTGAAGGAGACTGAACAGGTACACATTCAAATCAAGTTGAGAAAGAATCAATAATTAGATACCAACAGCTACTCTAAAGAATCATCAACGATCAAATAATTGTTTTTATTTCCTGCTCTTTTTCTTATCCTGTGAACTGCTTTAGAAGAAATCATCTCGATCCCCATTGAACAACAAACTTCTATACGAACAGTCTAGCGGTTAGGAACGTTGTTTTTGTTTGACTTGAAAACGTTAGCCTCTAATCGTAAATTTCCGTTTTTTCTTGTATCAAAGTGGAACGTCATGTTTGTTTGACGTGAAAACGTTAGCCTCTGATCGTAAACCTTCCATTTCTTCTTTTATCATAGAGGAATGTTGTGTTCATTTGACGTGAAAATGTTAGCCTCTGATCGTAAGCTTTCCATTTTTTCTTGTATCAGAGCGGAGTGTCATATTTGTTTGACGTGAAAATGTTAGCCTCTGATCTTAAGCCTTCCATTTTTTCTTGTATCAGAGCGGAACGTCATGTTTGTTTGACGTAAAGATATTAGCCTCTAATCGTAAACTTTCCATTTTTTCTTGTAGCAGAGCAGAGCATCATGTTTGTTTGACGTGAAAATATTAGCCTCTGATCGTAAACGTTCCATTTTTTCTTGTAACAGAGCGACGGTGAAACCAACGAGTCCGATGCTGCTATAAACGTGGATGTCCTGGCTTCCAATGGTGGTAAATAGGGCCATAAACCAGAGAAGGTAGATGTATAAAAGTTGAAGAAGGAGCCACCATGTGAGTATTCCAACCAGTTGTGTGTGCAGTTTAGAGAGAGTATAAGAAGAATTGCTTCCCCATTTGCAACCAATCTTATTTCCATAGGTGTAAATATAGATGAGATTTAGAAGGTTGGTGCTCAAAGTTCTTGCACTTTTCAATGGTGGGATCAAAGGCTCTGATAAGTTGATTACTAAGCTTTCTTATCTATTCTCTTCAATGTTCGGTTAAGATGTAATCTTCCATCCCTCTGTAAATGGGCGATTAAATGCTTCACATTCATCACACTCCTTTCATTTTTTGTTTTTCTTCTTATTAGCTTACAAATAAATAAAATATTAGTGTAATTTATGGCCTCCAACCAGGGTTCTTTTTTTTTTTTTTTTTTTTTTTTTTTTTTTTTTT